AAGTTTAACTTATATGTAAACACTTTGTGGAAATTGCATTTAATAGGCACCGCCATTATTATTTTCCGGGACTGTATTTACTAACAATGTAATTTTTTGGCAGACCCTGAAATTTCTCGTCAAACCGCATATGTGCCGTTACGTCAATGTCTAAAATCATCGTCATTTCCATATTTATATAATTTATTCGAGTCTTTATCTTTTGGGGTGTGTTCGTTAATAATTAAAATTCATTTTTACGTTAATAGTCATGCTATCAGGATACCACTGATACTTAAACATACCATAAAACTTTTTTTATTTCAGATTGATAATTGGTGCCGCTGGTAAAAACATATGGACGCAATATAATTCTTACAAATATTGAATTACCGATTGTAAGAGCGGCGATGCTGCAAGCAGTTTGGAAGTTATTCGTCCCTTTCTACAACAGCAAGAAGATTCTAAAGAATTATTCAAATATATTAATACACTGAACGTAATGACACAACCGACAATTCACGTACAATCAATGAAATGCACTGAATATAAATAATCCCTCCCTCAATTAGGACCCGGGTGCAAATATTTTATCGTACGTCATATGTTACATGGTAATAGTACAATACGACTCATCGATGTACTCATCAATCTCGATGAAAGCATCAGCCGTGACAATAATTATCATGTCAAATAAACGATTAAAACCCATTTGTTAGGAACGGCTGACAATAAATAAGGAATTTTTTAAGAGACGCATCAAATTTTAATCATATTAATGCCTGTTGTTATTTCTGAACGGAGGCAAAAAAGCTGGGAATATTGGCTGTTTAAGCATCTTACAAAGTTAAAGTAACATCTAGCTGTGGATAAGCATACTGCTTGTAGTTCAGACCAGCCATGGAAGAATGGTTCAATTATAAAGTTAAATTCAAGTTTATAAGTAGTTTAGCACAATATTACTCTTAAAATTAAGATTTGAGAATAAAGTTTGAACACAAAGCTCCCAGCGTGATTGATTGTGCTTACCTGAATATCATTGTAATACATTTATTCTACAGGTTTCCTGCTCTCATCATATGCTCATTTTGGTCAACTTTATTGTTGCCAACATTACTAAACTTTCCATCATTATATAAACTTCTTTAGCAGCAATCTGGATATTATATGAATAAATGTAACCAGTCTACTTATAATTCAGACTAAGCATACAAGTATTCTTTTTGCGAAATTCACAAAGCATGTACCTAAAAATTTTTAATATAGCAGAAATTATAAGCGAAAAGTAGAGGGGTTTAAGTGCGACACTGCAATGGTTGCCTTTGTGATACAGTCCTTAATCTTTCTTAAAATTAACTTATACAAATGTTTGTATAATAAATTGTAAAAAACTTTTTTTATTTAATAACAAAGACTAATGCTACAACTTTTATTAGTAAGTTAATATTTAGTGTGACTGCCCTCAGCATCAATGCATGCTTTTGATGCTGTTAACTATTACATTATTGTCCAGATTATCCCACTATGGCAAGAAAATCTTCCTTAAAACAGCCCAGATATTTTCAATCGGGTTGAGGTCTGGGTTGTATAAAGGCCAAGGAAGAACCCGTTTAGGGAGACATCGATCTTTCAAGTCACCCTGAACATCACGCGAGGTATGTTTTGGGTCGTTATCTTGTTGAAAACCCCATTTTGTTGTTACCATATAATAATAATGCAATTTGCATTAGGTGTACAAGTGACAATCAAGATTTCCATAAATATGCATTCCGACTTTTCCTTTGATACTGATCGCTCCCCAAACATGCACTTTAAATGAGTGCTTTTTTTTTCTTTATTGGATGGAAATGTAGTTTCAACCGGAATTGGAGGCAGAGCTATCCGAAGTGAGAGTCGCTGGAGATGGTGGTGATATGGGTTCGATGTGAGAGGGTGCAAGTTGAGGTTCTTCAAATCCTTTTTCAGCAGATTTTGCCTGCTTTGACTTTTTGTACTGAGCATGTCGGTGTGAAGGTGAATTAAGTTTGTTTTTATCATTGTTGTCATCTTCTATCCATATGGATGAATCGCTTTTTAGTCCGTCGATTTTAGGTTCTATTTGAGTTACGAACTTGAAGTGATGAACTTCACAATACAATTGATTTCCAATTCCCCTGTCATTATTAGCTTCGACGCTTTTTTGCTGATAAGCTTCTACCTGCTAGTTAGTCCCGAGATATTCTTATGATGGGAACATAGAATATTGCAATCAAACCATTTAAGACCACCTGCATCTTTCCCCACAAACTGTTTAGACGTTATGTCAAGATTCCAATAATCGTCTTGTAATTGCGGTTGATCTTTCAAAATACTATGTTAGTAGAGCTTTGTGGAAGGGATTTGGCATTATAGCATGTGTTTTGGCATCCGTAGGCCGATATCTGAGGGCCGTATTACAGTAAATTAACAAATACCAATTTATACTAATAATGTAACATACTTTTACTTACTTCACATACATCGTCTTTCGTGATGTTAGTAATCGATCCGAAAACTCTTACCACATCGTCTTGTATGGTGTCAATAAGCGGATGATTAATAGTTTTATATGTGTGCGTCCGAAGTTGTACGCTGACGCAAGACATTGGACTATTAGATATTCATGAGCAGTTGTTTCAGTTATTTGTTTTATCAGGCAAGTGGTATCGAGGTGTATGAACATCTTTTCTGCTAGTAGTGGTGATCTGGTCGTTTTGTTGTTTTTTTTTGTTGGGGAATGGGAATATATATATACCGGCGTGAGTGTTTTGGCCGTTATAACGAGAGACCGGCATATGATCAGCCGTTATAAGGTGTGAGATTAATATGTAATATTTTGGTGCAGCGAAGTTGGACCGGTATAAGGCGAAGCCGGTATAAAAAAGGCCGGTATTGACTGTATATATACTGTGGATTTCGATAATCGATTATTGTCACGGGTCATAACATAACTTGATGATTTTTGATTTGTAACCAATGATTTACCTTTATTATTATCACTTGATGCCCGATGCTAACCTGATTTGTCAATGACGCCTTCCCATTCGTCATTTGCGTGTATCATTTACCATATTAAAATTTCTTCAATTACTTCTTCCGGTAAGCTTCATAAGAATTTTATACGACTGTTTTTATATAACTGTTATGCATATAATAATAAGGAATCGTACGTGTATTTATTTCAGGTCGTAACATGTGATTGTATGAGCTGCTTATCCTTGCTAATTCAGGCTGAATATCTTATTTTGCTATTCGCTATTCACGTTAGCCATCAAATGCTGTTCTCCTCTGATCGATGTTCTCAAGCATTTATCTTATTTTAAACATCGTATGGTGCAAGGCACCTATAGTCATCAAACAAATTCATGCAACTTTAAAACCTATCTAGTCCACCAATTTAAACAA